GCCTCGTGCGACTCTTACGCTTCTTTCGTGCTTAGCAACTTCCCGCGTGCATCCATAACTCAATAGTGCACGCTATGGCGTTTACCATTTGTTAATTCTGAAAAAATCCAAAAACCTCTTGGTGGTTATTTAAGTACAGAATTGGGTAGGTGTAATAAGAATGGCACTCGTGTGATTTTTGAGAGGGTATAACCATCTTATGTTCACATTCCAAGATTTCATTTCAAATTTCATCTGTTCGGATTTGCTACTTTTTTCCTCTTTGCCTGCAGCGTTTAATTCATTCACAAAACATTTTTCCTGTCAGATTTTGCCTTTCCTTTAGGAAAAAATACATCAACAAATCAACAAACAACAAAAAGAAAACAAAACATGAAAATGGCGCATTGCCTCTTTACTTTTTAAAGCAGGATTAAACTAATCCATAATAAGCATTAAATTCTAGTTCAGTTTTATAACATAATTATTTCCTTGCTTCTTTGTTTAAACTCTGACTGAACATGAAATTAAGTAAAATTCATTTTCATAAATATAGAGATAAACAACATTGTGCAACTGTTAATCCCGTATGTGCAGTTCCAGAAAATATCCATGCTCCCCCACAGAAGATAATTTCCTGGGATTAGTAGGTTCTTCAAGACCAAAAAAAACTTAAGTAGTTTAATTGGAATTTCCATATGAGTGGGGGTGTTAGTAAACATCCCCTCCGTGGGGGAGGTATGGATACTAAGTTCTGGAACTACACAATTTGAATAAAAACATTCCACAACAGTTCAACTACAGTGTAGCCAGCCAACAGTCCTATCACCCTGTCTAATGTAACACACATTCAAGAAAGACCCCAAGTGACATCTGATAGACTGCAAGATTTTCCTAGCAAATTGCTTTTTGCTTCCTCATACAGAAAAGTAGAATTTGACATGAGGTCAAGATTCACTTAGAGTTTTTTCCATGCACCCCTTCAATTTTGAGGTATATTGGTATCTTATGCCAGAAAACATCTGGTATACAGTTATCCCAGTACCCACAGCCCCTTCCTGGCTGGACCTGACAAGCAATTGCCCTGGCTAGTCCATGCTATAACTGAATGTAGAAAAACATGTCAGACACAAGAAGTACAGTATTTCATTACTGCAAGTGAAATATATAAATATATAAATACAGGTGAATACTTGAAAGTGGGTAAAATATTGTGTTAAATAACTAGACTTCTGCTAGATTAAGATGACCTAAACTTGTTTTCTGTTGGTGGTGTAGAATGGTCAGAATTATTTTCCTTAAGTGAATATTCCACTGTCATTTTAAAGTTCCAAGCTTTAAGTGGAAGGCTTGCATGAATCCCACGATAAACACTACCTGGCAAATTAATTTTGCACTAAGGGATTTATAAGAATTATTACACATGATTTAATTCAGTGCTGTTGTCAACAGACTTTATCATAAAATTATAGTATTTTGGTTTGGAGAGGATAAAAGCAGCATTAAAAAACACAGTAATGAGGTTATCACAAGGTGCATAATAAATAATTCCAAATAGTTTGCACCCAGAAATTAAGTGCTGGTGAAGTTAAATTAAGGTGCAATACTGTAAATAATGCAAAAATTATGCTACAAATAAATGAACTATCAGAGCAGTTTTTATTTGAAACCAATTACTGACCAATTAGACAACTCAGCCAATCTCAAACCATAGTAAAACCAAAACAAAAACCAAAGTAATTGTCACTTTCGACACTCAACTGAAAACCGCTCTAACTTCAAATTATTAAATAGTGGTGCAGGTGAGATAATATAAATAATATTCAAGTCACTGACTGAAATTAAAAACAATTCTAGTCAGTCTATGTAATGACATCCAGTTCTTACACACTATAAAATGAATGAATGTACAAAAGGAGAATAACTAAAGGAAAGAGTCAAGTCTCTAACATACTTCAAAAATCTGATTGTAGCACATATAACCCATGGACCAAACAACTTCTGTCTCTTTTTTAAAGTATTGAATGATCAGAACAATAAATTAATAATATTATATTTTGTTTAGAATATGTCACTTTTCCAAATATTATTGCCGAAGTAATGTCTTTCAAAACCTTTGCAAATTACAAACTTGCTGCTTTAGAAAATTTTGAAAATCTCACAGCAATTTGACATAACAATAGAACCCTGCAATGAAACCACCTCCCCAATTTATTAAATTTAATACATATGGTCACCTTGGAAAAAAACGGCTACAATTTTTTTGGCTGGTAAAAATCAGCTGTTTAAGCTGGCTCTTGCTATTTACATTTCTGTTGTATTTAAGTATAGTTATGGTCAGTATTTCTGTACTGCTAATAGGTTACTTTCAATATTATTTTTAAAATTCAGCTTGAAAGCAAAGTCTAGATCAAGGCACAAACAAGAGAAATGAATAAACACACTCATTCAATTTCGTTTGTTTGTGTCCTCTAGACCTCATTCCCGAGCTGAATTTTAATATATTGAAAACCCTTTATTGCCCAGATGCTCAAGAAACCTCAGGTTTCCCTTCCACTTTTCCTTCATCACTATTACACTTTTTTTGTACCAATCAATGAGTTTGATGTTAAAACAGCACAAAAAAGGGTAATTTCCGTAAAAGTTAATTATCTTAAATTAACATCTGCTTCAACATATATTTACTGGTGCGTACATGAACTAAAAATTTAACATTAACCAATTAAAATCATTTTGGGTTCTAAAAATCAACAACAGTGAGATGGAAAGTCACTGGCATTTTTGCTATTGATGATAGCATTAAACCCACTACAAAAGTATGTTGGCAATGTGCAGATGATATAATTATGCCTCAGTTATTGTCAAAGCATGAGTGCAAGATCACTGGATATTGGCCAAGTTCTTTCTTTGCATGTTTATGGACCAAGATCAAGACATAAACACATAAATTCGCAAAAAAAAAAAGAAAAAAAAAACAAGCACAAAAGGAACAAGGAGCCATCTTGACTGAACAAGCTTGGTCAATAAAGGGTTTATTATAGAGGAAAAGAACTTAGTTATGTTCTTGCAGGATACAGTGGGTATATAATCCCAAGCGGGCAAGATAGTACCACCTTTTCTACTTGGGTAGCCAATCACACCACAGGATTTGGTTTATCTTGCCCACCCACAGAGCAAGTCATATAATAAATACGGGTTAATATACTAAAGAGTAGCTTTGAGAAATCCTAAGGAACATTTCCACAAGGTCTGCTAAAGTGGAATAGCACTTTCACCATTCAGCTGCCCTTCTTCTTCACTTTGCGTTTCTGCATTTCTGTGTATGATGTCCGGTTCATCGATGGGATGGCACTTAGGACAATGGGGACAGGAAAACAGCCTCAGGGATCGGAATGTCTGAAATAAAGATTATCACAAGCATGTCAGTACTAAATTGATAGAAATTACAGTTCAAATTGCTGCAATCAAAAGCTTATTTCCTGCTTGCCTTTCTTACTACTTGCTCAATATTGACCTTTGCCAATGCATAAATAGTCACTTCTATGGTCTAACTAACTGCTATAATTAACAATTAGACCCGTAGCCCGCAAGGGCTACGGGTCAATAGCCCATGAGGCGAAGCCGAATGGGCTATTGACCCGTGGCCCTTGAGGGCGA